CCTCTGCAAGCAAGAGCAGAAATGGGCCACAGGAATACAGGTCAGAGAAGGACATAAGGGAGAGGGACAAAGGGTGTGATAGAGAGGAGCTGGAAAGGACAGAATATAGTGAGCCAGGAGACAGAGATTAAGTCAGAAGGGAAGGCAGGTGTATCTGGCGCTAGAGAATGCTACTGGTGGATGGAGAAAACACAATATAATCCCCTGGGTATTGAGACATACTGAGAGCTCTGTGTGAGAGATATGGGCGACAAATGAGGACTCAGGGAGCTGAAGCTGATAGAGTCCCTGGTATTCAGGAACTCTAGGTTGGGCAGGCAGCCTGGAACAGGTAAGCAGGAACTTAACCCCTTTCTGAGCATTGTTGAAACTGCATTTGGAATCAACTTCTCCAAAGGAACATCTCGGGTTTTCCCATGTATTTTCTCTGAAGGTTTCCAATAAATCTTATGTGTTTGAGGAGAAGCAGGTGGGAAGAAGAGAGAGTGAATACCTAGAGTGAGAAGGATGAGGACTGAGGGGAAAAGAGCTGGGGAGAGCTGGAGTATACATTGAGTCTTACCTGGGAGACAGCAAGTCATACAAGAATGGTAGGGACGGGACTCAAGCTATGGGAAACTGGATGGAAAAGTGACCAGCGGCACAGTAGGACCTGGTGGCAGGGATGAACAGGGACCAGTGACCTGCTGAATGCCAGTGTGTGCTTTTGTCCTTGTAGTCTGGCACATGAGCTTGTGGGACTGGTAGCATGGAAGGGGCTGGAGAAGAAGACCAAGTAAGCTCAGGGAGGAGGGACTGTTGTGGAGAACCCATGTCCAGGTAAGCCCCGTGTCAAAGACATTGTAATTCTGCATGGCCAACAATGAGCTATGGAAGTCCTGGCAAGAATCCATTTCTGCACATATTACATTCAGAAGAAAATTCCCTGCAATCACCATGGATAGACAGTCCATAGTCCAGTCAGAGCTCTGTGCTGTGAATCTATAAACATCCTTCCTCCACCAGTGCCTCTGTAGAAGGTTGGTAGGGATCTACATAAAAGCTTCTAGGATGCCTCTTTCCATCTATTTTAATTATTAAAATGGGATATCACATTCAAATAACATATAGTAATCACTCTGAGAACAAATGGGACCTGCTGCAATAAAGCCTCTCATTTGTACATGCTGCAGAAAAAGAAAGGGACCTGCAGGAAATAGGCCCATAACCCCGAACTGAGCACATACAGATCTGTTGCTACTGCTTTGATGTCCTCTCACACCACCAAGAGGTGCTCTTTGCATGAGTTTCCTTCTGCATGTGCAGCAGGGCTGAGGGAAGGCAGGCACACATCTAGTATTTCCCATTCCCTTTTCTGAGTTTGGGAAAGAATTGCTTGTTGAGACAGTTTTGCTCTGAGAGACTTCCAGGGCCCTGAGCTGGGTAACCTCAGAGCGACCTGTATGTGCTGGGTTTGCATGGCACCCATGTGAGACTGAGGACATGCATGATACCATTTTTCCCCTCACAAGGATCCAAAGCAGCAAGGACTGCCTATCTCTCCCTCTCTTTCTGTGGTGTTCTGCTCCCTCAAGGATGATGGGAAAAGGGCAAGGGGGGCTCTTTCAGAAATTATGTTTGCACATCACAACCCTATACAGGAGGGCAGGAGCTGAGCAGAAGGCTTTTTCTTCAGCACAGATAGAGTAGGAGGGAGGAGTCTTTCATGGGGCAACCCCAAGGCTCATGTCTTTGCACACACAGGGCATGATCACAGCAAGTATTCTCATTGCCCTGGGCCCTGATAGGATTTATTTGATGTGAGCTCTCTCTCAGGCAATTCCAACTTTTCTATGCATGTTGGGCCCCTACCAATGTAAAGAGTAATTTGCTTCAGCCTGACTGGGCTGCAAACTGTCCCCACTCGCTATATTCCCCTTTTGCACCTTCCCACTTCCCCATTGACACAGCTTCATACCATCTGTCTCCTGCTTTTAGTTCTTTGTTTGCTGCTTCCCTTCTCCAAAACTCCTCCCTCCTGTTACTGCCCTCCTCTCCCCTCACTGCTGTGGTTTTTCAGACTGCCACACTTGTTTGAAAAGCCTGTCCTGACTTCAGAGCTCAGATCATAACTGAAATGGGCAATAGTGTTCTGCCATCCAGGTTAGAGAGGTTGTAGAGTTGTTTCATACAGGATCTATTTTCTGACATGGCCATGCCAAAGGCCTCTCTAGCCTAAATACATTCTGTCAAGCAAAAGCTTAGAAAAAGAATGAAGTTTCCAATCCAGCCTTACTGAACATAAACTACCTACATTTACACCTATCATGAGCAACTCAACTTGTAAATGGTGTTTACGGGGTCTTGAAACTGCCTTACTCATGGGCTTTTCTAGAGACCAGCTCCACTACAATCAGGAGCAGGTAGTCCATTCCTGATACCTTGTGTCATGGTCTGTCTTCAGAGTGTGATTGCTCTCAGCCTTTCTGCTTTGGGACAAAACAGCAGGTCCACTGTGACCTTCCTACCTGGAGCACAGAAAGAGGTTCACCTCTTCTCCATTATATATCTGGGTAAGCAGAAGACTGTGGCACAGACCTTTGGGCATCAAGTTCTTTGTGGTGGTTGTTTCACACTTGTACTTCCCTCGGCTGAGAAATTGTTCACAGACTCTAAATCATACTGGGGTTTTTATAGCTTGGCCTTATCTGATTTTTCTGTACTTCTGCAGGTCTCCTGTCAATCTGATATGGGGTTCCATTCCCACAGACATTTTACTCTCAGCCAGTGACAACTCCCATCTCGCTGATACCACTCTGCTACTTTAATGGCAATAAATACAGATCAATAGCTGACTGTGTGTCCTTTCACACAAGGTGCTTACACTGTTCAACAACATTTTTCACCTGTCTGATGTACAGGGGAGGTAACAGGGACTAGACATTACATGTGTAAATTCTAACTTGAGTGTCAAGTGCCTGCTAGCACTCTGTGCATTATCAGATGTTAGATATACTATGCTTTTTAACACCAGGTCTAATACATATCTCTACTGGTAAGTGATGGTGTCTTCTAGGAAGGCTGCATGAGGGAAGTGAAAAGAGCTGTTTAGAGTACTAAGGAAATCTATAGCTGCTCTGTTTTACAAGACTAATATTTCCTGAACTACCAATGTAAAATCTTGTGCTTCCCTTCTACCATTTTATTTCAAAGGCATAAAGCTTCGATCTCACTGTGCTTCCAAGTCCAACAAAAAAATCCCTCTGGCTCTTCATTCAAGTTTATCAGACTCTAAGTGACCCTTCTGTAATCTTTATAAGAGAGGGTTTTTTTTGCCTGTGGCCTTTTATAACCACCATCTTTCTACCTTTAAAATAGACTCCAGTCCCTAAGCCCAACCTGAATGGCAGCCTAAACCTCCTGAAGGGGCTATTGAATTTGTACAGACTGTACTTTGCTGCTCTGTGGATAGTTGTGGGAATACATTGCCATGTTCAGCACAGAAAAATACATGGCACTTTGTCACTGTCTTTATCGCCTTGAAAGTAGTAGGAAATATTTATTTATTTATTTACACAATTAATTATACCATTTTTATTTACACAATTATTTTAAGCCAGTGCCAAGCAGTAGAAAAGTGCAATCACATTGTTGGTTTGATGTTTTCCTTTGTGCTTGCTAGAACAACAGATATTTACAGCTCACATTTAAGTCTTTGTGCACAGGCAGGGAGCATTCAGGAGAAAAATTGGTCTCTGGCACAGGAGGCACAGGGAGCAGCCTAGAGTATTGATCTACTGCAGTCTGCCTAATCTGCCCGTGCTTGATGAGGTCAGAACTGCTGGACTAGCCTGGATGCTCCCATTGCACACACTCCCACTTTTTGCCTGTACAGCCCCAGCCTGAGATAACCACAGCAGGGAAGGATGTGCAGTGGCAGAAGTAAATACTAGATCTAGCCCCAGTGCTGATTTTCAGGGATCCACTTCTTCCTGACCCAGTTCCCAACAACTCTGGAGGCACAGCAGAAGCACTGCTTTACCCATGGGGCAGTGAATGTGAAGAGGAATGATAGGAGGGGACAAAAAGGACCAAATCCCACCCCAATCCAACCCAAGATATACATGTCCTGTCCCAGTCCCCTTTGCTTACCCTGAGATTACGTAGGTTCCTCACCACCCACTCCCACCCAGTCCAGTTGTTCCCTTGTTGAACCTTTTCTTGAACAGCTAAGAGAACTTTGCATCTCTGAGCCAGGTATGTCTTGGAGCAAGGTGTGGCCATCCCCAGCACTTCTCTTTGCCTTGTTGAAATAATCATCTTCTGGAAAATGTTCATTAGTTCTACCTTCAGTCTCCTACTTTTTCAAGGAGAGCATTCCAGAATGAGACATGCCCATTATCTCATCTGGGTTCCTCTTTTCCCAGATGTTACTGCAGTCATTGTAGTTGTTTTGGGTTTTTAACATATAGGCCACAGGTTTCTCTGGAAGGAGGAAGATGTGAGAATCAGTGCCCAGCAGAAGAGTCAGTCTCTGGGATGTGGGTATCTTTCAGCATATAAATTGAATTTTGCTGCATATCAATTTCTCCTTGTTTAGGCTGTATTTGACTTAGGTTGTATCTACACTGGCCTTATTGACAACACCAGCCACTGGCTATGGGCTAGCTCTGACCACACTGTATAGCATTTAAACCTCATCTACCTGAGGATACATTTGATGTTTCTATAGCCCTGAGGCATAATTAATTTTTATTTGTCCTTCTTTCCTTCCCTCCTTCCTTCCTCCCTTCCTTTCTCCCTTCCTCTCTCTCTCAGTCATTGCATTTTCCTTTGGTTCGCCCCCTCCCTTTTTCACATGAAATAGTGAGAGGTCTGTGTTGTAGCCCATTCATGGTCTTTTCATGCCATGACCATAGAACATGTTACTTACCTTAAGGGCATTCCCAGACATATTGCTGGCTGGGGTAGTATTGTATCCACCTGAGTTCACTACAGATCTGTATTGCCTGTCTGGAATGCTCAAGCAGACATGGACATTGGGTGAAAAGAAGGTCTGGATAGACATGGACGTAACAGTTTGAAATCAGTTTGCATTCATGTAGCGTACTCTCTTCTCCTTTGTTTCATCACTCCCAAATAAGTTTCTACCTGCTTCTTTGTAAATATTGGCAATGACCCCTGGAAATGAGTCTTACATGTTTGCTACTGACTCTTCTAAAGATCACAAGTTTTTAGTCACTCTGCCTACAGCTGCCTGTGTGAATTCATTCTGGAATTCTGCCACCACTTGACATCTTTAAGGTGGGGATATCTCCCACTCTTCACTGGAGGCTCATCAGAGTGCTTGTCCTCTCCAATAACAGCACTGAACCTACTGCATATCAATAGGTTAGAGGTGAGAGGAAGGGAGGGCAATCTGTGTCTTTGTGAGGCTGAATGGTCATAGAGCAATGGACCTTAGCCAGTGTTCAGACAGATCCTACTTTTTGCATCAAGCCTTTTAAAGGGCCAGTTATTCTCTCCAGAGGACCTCAGACCAGACTCAGTTAATGGGAAAAGGGGAAGGTAATTGCTTTTCCTTTCCTAGTGAGTCCTTCAGTCTCATAGGAGCATCTTCTAAATGGTGGCTCTCACAAACTCTACCTTGCTGTGTCATGGAAAGATGGTAGGTAGAAGTCTGGCCCTGTTTTGCTGTCCTGGTCAGGGCCTGCTGTGAGTACAGCAAAAGGTTGGGGAGCTAAGAATGCAAAGTGCTTCAGAGACAAGTGTTCACACATGAAGAGATGACTCTACAGCTCCAGTCTTCCTAGAGGAGGCAAGTACACTCTTTGGGCATCACACCTGGTTTGAATTTGACCTCGACCGATTTATTCAATCACCAGTTCTTCTGGCTCTGACATGGTCCTCTCCTGCAAGCTTTTTTCTCCACATTGCTTAGTTCACGGGTCTACCACATAAACCACATGGGAATCAAAAACAACTCAAGGGGTAGCATACTGCCTTCTGGAGCTGTGTGGAGGGGATGAAGGAGAAAGAACACCTCACAGAAGAACAGAGCAGACCAAGTACCTTCAAAACAGTCCTGCTAGTGCCAGGTCTCTCACCAGCAAGAATATCACTAAACCAGATAGGGGACTTCATTTCTTCACTCTATCCTTACTTACACTCTGTCCTTACTTCACTCTATCCTTACTTCTTCTTACTTCATTCTATCCTTACTTCACTCTATCCTTTCTTACAACATTTATCCTTACTTACAGTTTGTTAGGGGAAAGAAAGCAAATGGAACAAGACAGAGTAAAGTGACTTAGTGAGCAGTGAGGGAAGGAAAATAAGATGACAACTTTATTCTCCCCTCTATCAACCATCCTCCAGTTTTGGAATGTTCATCCCCATTCTCCTTGCTCCCTGCACCCGTCCTTCCCCCCACAATTAACACAGGAAGAATCTTTCTTTTAAAATAAAACCACTTCCCCAATAAGATGGGTTTTCTGAATCAAGAACTTCCTTTTTTTCCCCCCTTGCTCCTCAGAGTACCTCAGAGAAAAGCCCAAAGTACTGTCAGCCTCTCACTGCACATTTTGGCCCCCGTAAACAGATTTCCACAAAGCTGCTGGGATGGAAATGCATTTGTGGGTTTGCATTTCAGAAGTAGCCAATGAGCCCCTGTTAGCTCATTGAAACATGCACATACGGTTTCCTTCACTGATGCGAGCTCAGGACATGTGATGGGAGGGAGGAGTCGCAAGGCAACCCGCCCCGCTAGATGCTGCTGCGGTCTTGGGCACTGGCTTCAAGTTGTTTCAGTTCTGTGAAGCATCTGAACAAGCGGAAGGCCAGAAGGAACACTTGTGTTGTATATTTATCGCACTCTTCAGAATGGACTTTTGTTCTGCTGGTAAGTCTTGTCCACTGTTTGCCTTTTTAGGGTGAGGGCTGTACACTCAGTTTGACAGAGCAGAGCACACCGTGAAATCCCAGCTGTGGATGCTGTGTCTGGTGGCTGGAGGAATGAGATGCTGTAAGATCCCTGGTGGTAAAATTAATTGCTTGTCAGCCTTCAGCATTAGGCATGGGTTTCTTTTTACTTGCTCTCACATTGGGAGAAATTTTCATTCAGATTTAAATGGCCTTTGTGCTGACTATGTCTACTGCTGCGATTCTGGGCTGAGCTGGAAACTGACTCAGGGTTATTGAAGGAATAGGTGGCACTCGGGATGAGCACTTGTAAGATTTGGCTTCTCTTCATGCAACTCTGGCATGGTTTGCAGTGGTGTTTTCCTACAGATCCCAGGAGCTGTTTTGCCGTTGCCAAGCCTCACATGCAGTTGGGTATCCCAGTACAATGTTCTTGCAAGACCTTTGGTACTAGGAGCTCTCTTACTTATGTCCATGTTTAAGGTAAATGGCTGTATTAGGGTTCTACAAGCTCCAAGTGACCTGTAGGTGGGCCTGCCTGTCCTGAAATAATCTCAATGGCCAGATGTTGGTGCCAGGAGATAAACCACATCTGAGGAACTGAGAGAGATCTTAGGTTTTATTTCCTGCTTTGGCAGGTGGTGGATAAAGTGTTTGGGATTCAGCAGGGAAAGGCACACTGCCAGACTGAACATTTCTAGCCTCTGGCTGGGGAAGCTCTGAGCTTGTGTCTGTGCAGAGCCAGCAGAGAGGGAGAACCAAATGTGAATAGGCTGAACAAGGGCCAGGAAGAAAAAAGATCACCTTCCAAAGGCCCTTCTGGATCTGACTCTCTGTCCACTCAGGCTTTTGTTTATAGGATATTGAGCACAGAGTGAAGGCAAAATGCAGTGCCCGGTTTCAACAACTCCTTGTGCACTTTTAAGCTCTGAAGTGTGTAGCCAATGAACAGACACACTCAAACCACATACCAGCCTTGCTTGTCAGGGAAATTGGTGGTATCTATTGGAGCTGAGCTCTTGCCAGCATCTGACTATGAATGTTGGTGAAGGTGGGTCTCCTCAGATCACCCAGCCCTCACCACCTGAAAGCAACTGTGGACAAAGCTTCTGCAGGACAAGCTGGGCAGGAGGAGGGATAGCTCATGTTTTGCTACTTATTTTGAGGTGTGCTTTGCATAGAAACTGAGGCCCTCCAAACTGAAGGTCTGACACAGTCATTCACTGGGGTTAGGTATTACAGAGTTAATTATGTCTTGAAAGTTACACTTTCAAGTAAGTATACTTTCAAGAATGTATATACAGTGTGGTAGCACAATGAGATCCTGCTCAGGGACAATGAGGGTTCGCTCAGCTCTGGCTAGAGGCAGAGCCCAGAGACAGGCAATGCCTTGAGAGACGTGCTGGCTCTGACTGATATTTCTGCTTGGTCCCAGCCTGTCACTCCACAGCTGGGTGAGAAAATGGGTTTGCTTCATGCTGAGCTCCCTTGGGAGCCAAGGGTGCCACCAGCCACAGTTTTCCAGTGAGCTTTAGTACTGGATGCATGTGAAATTGCTCAAGTGTGGCAAGATTTTCCTGAAGGGCAGAGGTGCACGTACACCTTTTCCTGGGGTGACTCCCACCTGGAGACCTGATGGTCCTGTTAGGTACCTGTCTGCCACAGTTGTGTGCAGATGAGACCTCTGTCTGTGGGGAAGCTGCTCTCCCTGTGGTATATGTCCTCTTCCAGCTACCTTCAGAACTCTCTTGTGACTGTCTGGGTGAGGCCACAGAGCCAATATGCCAAACCCTTTTGCTGGGTGTGTGAAACCTGGGAGAGCAGACTGGTACCGTGGTATTCTGTGCTAGGATGTGTGGGGTGAAAGCCATAGGCAAAAGTGGCTGGAAGTTATCCTAATTGATTTGTCATGTGGGATAAGGGGACCAGGAGACAACATAAATTCTTCTTTCACACCTTCCTCCCCCATAGCTGAAATGTGCAAACTAAACCTGTTGGGGTCTATGTTGAATTTATTCTGACAAAAGCTGGAATAGAATTGTGGAGTGGCTACAGGAGGGAGATAGATAGGGTTGGAGGAAATTGAGGAGCTGGAAGGCTTCCTGCCATCTGCCTGTTACTAGCCTGGTACCCGACTGTGGAGGTGGTGGTCTGTACTAGAGGTGACACAGCACACATATCAAAAAGGAAAAGGAATTTCAGGTGATTTTTTTCTACCAGACAGCCTCCTTCAAGCAGAAAGCACCCATCAGGCTGCTCTGCTTGTGTGTTGCCATGGGTGGAGGTGCCCAAAACCTTTAGCAGCCACACTCAGAGCTCTGCATTGCCTTGCAAATGGTCCCAGTGGACCTCTGCTGTCATACTCTGGTTGCGTAGCACATGGATGTTCTGCAACAGTGCTACAGATGCAGTCATTCTTCACAACCTTCTTCTACTGCTTCTGCAGTCCATCCTTCAAGCTCTCCTGGGTAGTTACTTCTCACTTACCTCTGTGCTTCAAAAGTTTTCTTCCTATTCATACATTTTTGCTTGGGTTTGAAAGCCTCAGTCAGCACCTGGATGGCTGTGCACAGCCCTTTGCAATGGGAAGTGAGAGCAGCAAACACTGTACTCTCTGCTGGCCACACTCTTTGGTAACTCCAGCCTGTCCTCCAGATGGGGAGGCTCAGGGCATAAGTTACCACAACTGGAACTGAAGTCTGTGTACTGTAAAATAGTCACACTCATACACATACATACATGCAGGGTGTAAAACACTCGAAGAGTGTCAGCACCAAAAACCTGGGCAATGCATGAAGACTTTCTATCTAGGTGTGCCCTGTGAGTGGGAAAACAACCTAAAGAGCAAGTGTAAGCCACACAAATGTGATGCTGATGCACTTTCCTTTCAACAGTGACTCTCTAAAAATAAATTCCAGGCAGCACTTTCGTATCCCCTCTGAAGACAATCCTAGCCTATTTTTGATCTGTGTCTGAACTGGAAGACTTCAGCGCTGGTTTGGCTGACAGCATCCCCCTGAAACCCGCGACTGTTTTTGTGGTGTGTTCTTCATTGGGGTGAAATTTCCCCCTGTGCAGAGAACCCTGACCAGGTCTATGCTTCATCTGTGTCCTGACCTAGCCCTGGAGGGAAGTGGGACTTGGTGGTACTGAGGGCTTTGACCAGGCTGAAGCTGTTCCTCAGTCCCCTGGTATGGGGATGAATTCCCTCTGCCATTGCAGGCATCTAGTGTGAGCCAGGTGGTGCTTCACTAAGAGTGTCCCTCTCCTGTCAGCTCAGCTTGTTCTCAACTTGGAGAGGGAGGGAAAGGCAAAGCAGCCTGCTCTCATTACCTCATCTACTGCTTGCCCAGCTGCCTCTGCTGCCTTCGCTGCCCTTCTGTGGATGGTTCCTCAAACAAGTCTTTCGTGTTCACTTCCCCAAACTGCAGACCCCAATGTGTGCAATAGCATTGATGAATGGCCTCAAAAGATCCTTAAGCAGAGCATCAGGCCTTCTGTTAGGGGTGCAGAGTAATGTACAAGCACTGACCTCAGAATTATTTTCCAAGGCAATCAAGGACTTAAGCTGTTATTTAGGAAACCTAGCAATGACCCTCTCTGCAGCTGAGTCTAAATTGCCCTGAAAGCTTGATGCATCCATTTTTTTCCATGCTATGTCACTTCTTTTTTATCTCCTGATTCCTTTCCCTTCTTCAAGACTTGTATGCTTTTTCTCCCCTGCCTTCCCATACAAACAGTCCTTCCCACACTTTCCTCATTCTGACAAACTGGACAGGTGAATCACTTGGGAGTTGGCGGTTTCAGATATTCAGGAGGAAGGGGGACTGAATTATTTGCAATCGGGGGGTCATGTGGGTGAGATGGTGTCCTCTGGGAGCCTCTTGTCTCTTTGAGATGCTTTAGGCTGCTTCAGTAGACAGAGAACAACTGAAGCAAAGCAACTAGCCACACCACAGAGTTTGCTGACGGGGTGGAGGAAAGGCAAAGTTCCTCAGGTATGTCCTGCTACGGTGCTTTAGTGGAAAGAAATACAGGCTAAAAGGTCTTAGTAGTAATTTGCCAAGGAATCACCCCAGTGTTTGCACAATTACCATCCCCCGTAGGAGTGAGAGAGAGAAAGCTGGGGAGACAGAGGTTGGCCTCATCTCCTGCAGACGCCAGAACGGCAGAAGACATAAATTAAACCGAAGGACCCAGGCACTGCTCAGAGGCTCAGGGCTGACATTCAAGGGGAAGTCAGAAACCCTCCTAATAAGTGGCGGAGCCACTGCATGTTGTTTTTGCTGTGGTTTCTCTTAGTTTGTTTACTTTTTGTTTGCTTGCTTGCTTGGTTTTTTGTTTGTTTGTTTTCCACTCATACAGATCTGGCTGCTGCAAGCTTCTGAATGCCACAGGTTTTCCTTCTCTTGGCTGGCTTCAGCAATCAGTCATCTCCCTTTAGCTCTTCTCAAGGGCTGCTTGCAGGGCTGGGAGGGCACATGGGTCCTTCCTAGCCCTGGCTTCATGCTGGCTCCTTGTCCAGTGCTTTCCTCCCGCAGAAATGGAATGCTTGAAAACAGCAGGAAGAGTGACAGGAGAGAGGCTGCAGACTCAGAAAAGTAACAGGAACATACTTAGTATGTGGAAACCCAACCAGCCAGGAGGATGGGGGAAAGACTAGGATTGGGAAAGGCAGGTCTCTCTGAACTTTTGTGGCCATGACAGGAAAGAAGTGTATGGAGTCTGACATGACTGTCCTTGTCCTCTTTTCCTTCTGTCTGTCTTGGCTGCTTCCTTCCCTTTTTTTCCTCCAGTCATATTTATAGCAGTTGTTTTGCATGTGAGATCCACACTAAGAGAATTTCCAAGGTAACTGGTGCTACTTCCCCTTTTTCCAGGAAGAGAGGAGGCCTGGGGGATTTTAGTTTATGAAACAGTGGAGCAGAGCATCCAGTGACCTGACCTGGCTTCCTGCAGTGTTTAGGTGCAGCAAGGACCCTGTCTGCAAGTTCAGCACTGACCTCCAGTGCTCTTAACCTTTTGGGAGCTCTGGTTTTATCTCCTGGGTCCTCACTACCTGCTTTGCCTCCTCTCTAGGGCTGCAGCCTTCTCCTTGCTGAAGAGACTTCACCTGGATTATATTTAGCAGCAGTGCCCCATTTCTTCTAGGTCTTTTATGAATCATGTTGTGGTCACCTTGGCTCTGCTGCTATCTGTTTGACTTCCCGTACACTGCAAGAAAGCCTGCTCATATATCTGCATTGTCTGTGGTCCACAGAGCAACAGCCTCCCACAGTCACTCCCTCAGCAAGGCTTTCCCCCAGATCCTGCCCACGATTGTCTCTCTTCAGTCATTTCTGGCTCTAGCTGTGGTGCATCAATCCATGAAGCCAGTGGCCCTTCTTGGGATGTTTGGGTGTAGATGAATTGTTTAGGTCAGCAATTTCCAGTATATAAAGATGACTGACATAAAAACCACCAGAGAGCATTTGATGAAACCTCTTTGTTGCACTCACAGCGAGCAGACGTGGTTGAGTGGGCGGGTGGGTTCCTGCAGGCTTCAAAGAGAGGGCTACCAGCACAGCACCTGGCTGCTAAGAGGGGTGCATGGGTCTGTGCAGCTCGCTCTGGACTGAGAATGATTTGCAGGGCAAAGGTGAGGTACAGTGGTTGCAACAGCAGGGAGCATAGATGCTGAAACACAGAAATCAGAGTTGCTGTGGCATGACCCTAGGTGAGGGTCAGTGCTGAGAGGTTGAGACAGCTTTTTCTGTAATATGTTGGCCCCAGTACTGTTCTCACAGGCACCTTTATTCTTCCAGAGTCAACTGAGTTGAGTGAGGCTGAAGAGGCTGAAATAGAGACAATCAGGCAGCACAAACAGGAGCTTTTGGAGGACATTAAGGTAAGGACCATCCTGTTCCTCCCACCTGCCTTGTGTTCTCAAAACTGTCTTCACCAAGGGGCATCTTTGCATATCAGCCCAGGCCATGCAGAAGGACTCGTGCGCAGGAGACATTTGCTCTGTCATGAGTTCAGTCTGCCCTGGCCTATTTGCCAGCAGGATATATCCAGTCTGTGGTGGTTTCTGCTGCAGGAATCATCAACTACCCCAATGGGATAGGCTGGTCAGATTATGAGCTGGGATGAGCTGGGATTACATATGTAGGATTAAGGAAATGAATATAACCTTTCTATGTTTTACTGGCATGCAACTGGCTCATAATTTATGATTATTTTTAATACATGCTAATCACATATCAGTCCTAGTTACCTGCAGCATCCCTGTGTTTATCAAACTTAGGTTTGTTTTGTGGACTTCTAACAAGTCCTCCATAAAGCAACCTGTCTCTTTCAAGAGGTGTGATGTCAGGATCTTCCCTACAAGTTTCTGTGGTTGAACTTGCTTTTATTCTTTTCTTTTCTTTTAGCAGACCCAAACATTACTCCACTGACTCCTAAAATATCTGAAAGTAACAGATTCAAAATCAGTCAGTAATACCACATCACAGTCATGCATGATGCTGTGCACTTTCTATTCTGTTCTGCCTCCACCACCATGGAATGTGGTCTTCCATTTGAGAGCTTATTGCACTGACTTGGACTGATTTTCCCACAACATGAAGATGTCCAGATGCCTGGGGTGTAGCTGCATTATTTCCTGGTGTAAAGGATTAAGTCAAACTACGCATTACTTCTCAGGTTTCCAGACTCTCTCTCTCTCTCTCTGCTGCAAATCACAATGGTGTCTTGTCCCCTCTTGCAAGAGGTTATGAACATATGTGCATGTGATCTGCTTGTGTGTGGTTCTTCTCTCTTCAGTTTTTAGGATAGGCAATGGGCACTGTAAGAGGCAGGATACATGAATAGGAATGCTACAAGTTTTTTACCCACTATGGACAGAGAAAGCTTGCTAGACTACACAAATGCCTTATACTTTAAAGCCCAAAGCCATTAAACAATGGGGATTGTCCAGTGGAGCAGGATGAGTTTAGGTGAAAGAGTACCTTACAACGAGAGACATTTTTCCCAGTGAATTTCTTCAGAAAGTGTCTAGCAACACCCTTAAACACAAAGACTTTGGGGGATGTCTGGGCAAAGGGAGAGGGAGGAGAGGATGGGTCTAGACTTGCCAGTAACACTGCCAAAAGACAGCAGTGAATAAAATAACAAAGCTGATAATCATTTGAAATTCAGTAGCTAAGATCATGGCTTTGTTAAATTTGTGCAATACCTAAATCTTAGTAAGGAACACTCACAGCTCTGGTTGCTACGGAAGGACAACAGAAGGCAGCCAGAACAAAACTGAAACCCAGAACCTCTTTTAAATCATGAGATATTGCAGAAATTCAGTTTCTCTATCTGATTACATCCTGCATCCACATCCTCACTCCTTGTTGAGGAAGAATCTGTCATAAGATAACCCTTCTTCCCCTGCCTATTCTGGTTTGCATGGGGAAGAATTTGGGTGATTCCTGGAAGAGAGCTGTGATGTGCTTTGGCTTTGAAGAGGACTTTAACTGCAGGATGGAAGCAAAGAGATATAGACAGTTTCATTTCCTTGGTAACGCAGATTATCCAGCCAAGAAGGCCATGGTCTGTCATGGGCCTAAAGGAAAGTGAATTCTACAATTGATTTTTTAATATCTGGCAGTAATTACTCTTCTTTTCCTCTCATCTTTCTTCACCTAAAGACAGGTATCTGCTCAGTGATATTTGAATGATAGGTACGTTAAAGACTCAGGTTCCTATTGACCTCACAGTTACTGGTTCCACTTCCCCTTTCCTGGATGTCTAGCAGGGCTATGCAAAGTAAAAGCTTGAAGGAAATGGGCACAATGAAAGGATTCTTGCATCTGGCATTGTCTGAGGAACTGAAATCAACAGTGGGGTGAGTTCTCTGACACTCACCACACTGGCTAAACTCGATTTTTCCAGCTTTGACTAAAAACAGACACGAGAACAACCTTCTGCCCCTCTCTTCGATTGTTTTCATATGGAATCCAGCAGGATCACCACAGAGCAGTGCCCATTTCCCAGACATTCTTGACTGATCATGGCCATCTGACCTGTCCTTTTCCTATGACTGGGGGAAGAAGTAAGACATGGTCTGTATGTGTTTGCTGTTTTTCTCTCCATTGCCTTCATCCTCCTGATTTTTTTTTCAGAAGTTGAAGGAAGAGATAGCTGAAGTGTTTGCAGAGATTGAGCGTTTCCAAAATGCAAGGGAGAGGCAAGAGGCAGACAATAATCCTGGAGAACAGACCAGGTAAGTGGAATGAATGTTCCTTTGTTTATATAGTCTCTCTTCTGAAGTTGAGAAAACAAAAAACACTGATGGGATTTGGATCACAACAAGGAGAGGGAAATGAGGGCAGGAATACCCTTCTCTCCTCTTAGATTTCTCTTTATTCCTGGATAATCAGACACCTGTCCTTGAGATATCTAAGCTACCTTGTGAGTGAAATGACATGGTCCTTTATTCTAAGTTTGACTTTTTTTCTTTTTTTGTGTTGGCAGCAAGCTATCACAGAGGGATAAAATTCTGTCCCTGGGCCGGAAGAAATTCAACATGGATCCTGAAAAGGTAGGATTTGCTCATTCCACCAAAGAGGATAAAACTGGAAGAACTTCTGTTGGCTACTAGTCCACTTGCAGTCACTCACGTCAAAGGAACTATGGCATGGGACTGTGGGGCTGGTTTCCTACCTCACTAAGGCTCCAGTTAGTAGCACTCTCCATTCTGTTCCTGAATAAGGTGTTCTGATATGATCAAGCCGTGTTGCCTACAACCATCACGTGTTTATAAGCCACCTCGTACGATTCAACCCAAAACTAAGAGAACTAAAGGGAGTTTAACACGGCCAACATGTCATGAGAGCCAAATTTCCTCCAGCACAGCTTTCTTCACTGTGAGAGGCTGAGTTTGCTGTGGTGTGATAGAGGAGGATGAACTAAGAAGAAGGTGAGAAGTTTTGAGAGGGTGCCAGGTTCCTTCGCTCCTTCAGATCAGAAGAGCACAGGAGCTGCCTCTGTTGTTTGGAAAGCAGTTTTGGGTTTGGTAGTATTGGTTAAACTGTGGAGTAAATACAGCTTTTTCACTTTCTGGGACTCTGACCAGTAATGTCAAGACTCCATTGCCTTCAACTCTTTGCAGAAAGCTCTAAACCCCTCATGATTAAGTAGAGAAGGTGTGAGAAGGACAGTTCCTTCTTCCTTCCTCGTCGCTGGTGAACCACTGTTTTGAGCTCTGTAAGGCAAACCACAAACTGAGATCAAACGATAGCTCAGTGTCAGCTAAGCACCACAGCTAACATCTTGAGTGGCTGCTGCTCTATGTGCCAGCTTTTCTTGCCTCTTCCTGTGCCCTGCTGAGACTATTAAGATGCCTTCCCCAGCATCCACACCACAGCTGGAGTGCTTGCCAGTCCCCTGGACCTCCCTTTACCAGTGGGAGCTGTCTCAGAGCTGCAATATCAGTACTTATATCCTGCATGAAAGGAAGGTTTTGCTTTACCTTTCTGTCTGACCTTGGTTTGAAGCCCCAGAGACACCTCTATGGCACTGTGCCATGCTGAGCAGAAATACCTAAACTAGTTCTAACCCCAAACCAGTTTAGCTTTATTAATTCAATGCTGATCAGACTGGTCAAAACGTGCCTGTATTATGCAGATCTCTGTTTATTGCCACCCTTTGCTATCAGCCATAGGCTCGGAGGTGCTGCAACACAAGGAAATTTCTTTGCCCCTCCTTGCTAAGGTTACACTCTGTCCGTGCAATGCTGATCTTTTAAATGAGTTCCTATCTCCAAGATCTCATGGAAAGTTCCTGAGGCTAGAGGAGGTAAACATTAGGAATCTGGCTGAATAAAACCTTTGGGGAGAAAAATTTTCTTCTGAAAAACGGAACCCCATCATCACTGCAATGTTTGGCAAAATTAATTTGATTTTACCAAAATTCCATCTGGGGAAAAAGAAAGGGAAAATAGCATAGAAAAATCTCCCAAACATTTCAATTTCTTCTTTTGAAACTGCTTTTTCTTTGGGGCATTTAGAAATCCCTTCTTATCTATTACGAGGCAAAGTGAAATGATTCTATTGAAGTAGAACATTTTGATGGATCTAAAACAATTTTCATTCCTTTATTGTATTTTGTGAGGAGAATTGCAATGTGGTCTGCAGAACTGCAGTCTTGCTAGATCTTGTCAAGAATACTTTGAACAAAACCTCAGCTTTCCCTGCCTTTGAAAATCACAAAATTCTCTCTGAAATAGGATATGGACTCTTTGCACAACCCAAATCAGACCTCTGTATTCCTTAAAAAGCATATCCCATCCTTACTGACTGGGAGGGATGGAGCTGAAAAGATTGCAGACTTCTCTGTTCTGTGGCATAGAAGAAAAATCTAGGAAAAAAATTATTTTAACTTTTCCCTAGCCCATATTTTTGTATCAAGTCCATATTTCTGTCTAAGTACATTTTGTATGTCTTTTTTTAAGTAAACAATTTTTTTCTTTAAGTTAATTTAGAAAATAATTTTGGCATTTAGAAACAAAGCACTAAGATATTTTGATTGAAAATATTAGAATTAATTCTTTTGACTTTGCCTTTTTGGACTTTTAACCTACATTGCCCTTTTTTTATTTGCTTGAGTTTCCATCCCAGTGAAACATTTAGCCAGATCTAGGGATGAAATGGAAATGGGACTAACCACCCATAGGTGGAGGGGGATGGAATAAAGATGAGAACATGGCTGTGGTTTTCCATAAAGGGGCTGAGGAATAACAGAGGAGACAAGTTTATCAAAGCTAAGGAAGGCTAATATCAGGGTATTGGGGTCATACTTTCTCATCAGACCACAGAACTGTCTTGCTTCACTATCTTGCTTCTCATTTCCAGGGGATCCAGTACCTGATTGAGCACAGGGTATTGTCCTCAGACCTGCAGGAGATCGCCAAATTTCTCCACAAGGGTGAAGGTCTGAACAAGACAGCCATTGGGGATTACCTGGGTGGAAGGTGAGCAACCAAGACAGGATGAGGAGACCCTTTGGAGGCCCTGTCCTGCCTGGTCCCCCTCAACTACTGTTTTGGATGATCTGTGGCAGAACTCAGCCAGGTGCCAAGGCTGAACACACCTCCAGCTGCAGTGGGCTGGGTGGACAGTACACCCCTGGGAGAGTCTTCGCAGTGTAACTAAGTTTGGCTGTACAATCTTCCTTTCCTCCTGCCTTTAATGGGGTCAGTCTTCTCAGACAAGAGTACACATCTTGGCTTCTTCTTGGTCAGAGGCTGGGATAGAGGCAGGTACATCCTGTCACACCAAGGGGCATCCAAACTGAGCAGGGTCAAGGCTGTCTTCTGACCTTTTCCCTTTTTCCTTTCCCAGGGACACCACAAACATTCAGATCCTCCAAGCCTTTGTGGCATGTCACCAGTTTGCCAACCTCAACCTGGTTCAGGCACTGAGGTGAGTGAACATGCTGGATGCAGAAGACAGTGCCAGGGCCCATCTTACCACTGGGTCTTGCCACCCAGGAAAGTCCAGCCCAGCTAGGCTGAAATGGGAGCTTCCCAAGGCCCCACTGCATGTGTTGGCTCTCAGGCTGTTACTCTGTGAGGTGTCAGCAGCTTATCTGGGGGGAACTCTTTAATGGCCTCTTGACTGGACTGGCCAAGTGCAGAAAAGATGGGAAAAACAAAGTGGGTCACTGTGGATTCAGTGCCTAGGGGGGATGGGGAAAGTTATTTTTTGCATCAGGAAGCATGTCTGTCCACAGTGCCTATTATGTCAGTGACAAAGTGACTCTGTCTTAGTGCATCTTGTTTTCTTATAGGCCACCTCCTGGCAGGACTCTTTCTTTTGAGGTCTGTCCTGCTTTGTAGGGCACTCATGAGGGAAACAGAGCCATGATTTCCATGATGTTTAGTTCTGCTTCCTACTTTTTGTGTGTTTAAGGCTGATGAACTCAGGCAATTTCTAGAGGGAGGAGCAGAGCTCCTGCTTCATGCACTGCGTGGTCTCCCCAGTGTGATGGGATGTCTTCTTTTATTTTCATGGTGTCTCACGGGTTGAGGGGAGGGATCAATGTCCCTTATACCCAATCTGACTAACTCTCTGGCATGTGCTCCTGATAGACAGTTCCTGTGGAGCTTCCGGCTGCCTGGGGAAGCGCAGAAGATTGACCGGATGATGGAGGCCTTTGCCAACTGGTACTGCAAGTGTAACCCAGGAGTATTCCAGTCCACAGGTAGTTATGGGGAGAAGGCCTGGAAAGCTGAGCTACACTGTTTGTTAGAGAGAGGATCCTCCCTTTTCTATTCCCAGAGCACCAAGGGCATCACTTGGAAGTGTGTTTCCCCTTAAGCTGGAGGAGCCAGCCCAGTTCCTGTGAAGCTTTTCAATAAGCTGAGGGCCTTCAGTCATCCTTTTGCTACTGTGCTCCAGTCCATTCCCACAGGCAATAGAGTGGAGAAGTGCTCCCAGCCTCACATGAGGTACACATCATCGCAGCAAGGATAGCACTGACAGATGTAGGTCTGTAGAAACTTTCCTGATGGCAGAGCCATTACTGGACCAGATCTGCCCACCTTGCCTCATTATCCTGGAGGGATGGTATCACCTCCACCATAGGAGATCAACTCTGTCCCTCTTTCTCCTAGCAGAGTGCATATCTCCCTTCTCCTACAACTGAGAGGATGGCACTGTTCTTCAGTGACTAGAAACCAAGCCACCTGCTAGGGTATGGATTGATCTGCCCTCTTAAGACAAGTGCCACCCATCCTGGTTTTCTTTCTCATTGCTAGATACCTGTTATATACTCTCCTTCTCTATCATCATGCTTAACACCAGCCTGCACAACCCCAATGTGAAAGACAAGCCTCACTTTGAAAGGTTTGTATCCATCAACAGAGGCATTGACAATGGAGGGGACCTGCCAGAAGAGCTCTTAAAGGTAAGAAGACTTCCCATTTTCTCATCAGTTCCTCTTCTCTCTGCTTGCAACCCACTGACAAGCAAAGGTCCAGAGGTCTCAGTGTAATACAGGCCTACTGACCTTCTGCAAGGGGAAAAGTCTGCATGGAGAAAGAGAGCAGTATGTACAAAAGCAAATCTGGAAAGTGTGGAAACTGCTTTGGGAAGGAGCTGCACACATGCTTGTTGGTGAGGGCATGAAGCAAGAGAGACAGGGCTGGAGATATTAAGGGAATAGCTCTATCAGCTTAAGAAAGTTTGTGCTTTTACGTGTGTATGTGTGAGAGAGGAACAGGTACTGTTGTGTGTCATGTAGATATGGGAACATGTGAATGAGGCACCCACCTCTGTGGGAGGCAGCTGAGCACCTCACTGTCATCCAGCTTTGAAAGTACTAGCTCCCAAGGGGACTGTCTTTCTAGTATGTCTGTGTGTGAGCCAATGCCACAGTGGCTGAGGCTATGAATCCCTTTCCCTTTTTCATGCCTAAATGTTTCAGCTGACTCCAGTATTTGCATCAGTCAGGACATCAGCACCTGACCTCTCTTACACCAGGATATATATTTGAATTAGTAGAACCAGCAGGCCCCAGTGAGTGTCAGGGTCTCTTCCAGCATCTGTAAAGCCCTCAGAAGGTCCATCCAGGTGTCTCTGACCCCAGAGGATGAAGATGCAGAGACAGGAGATGCATCCATTAGCAGAGCTGGTACTTCCATTTTTCCAAAGGCTCAGCAGGCATGGGACCTGCCCTATGAGGTCCAGTAGAGGTGGGCAGCCTGCCTACGTGTGTCTGGCTTCACCCAGCCAGCGTGGGCAGAGTAACTTCTGCCTTGTGGGTGTGCCTACATCCCACACTTGGGTTTGCTGAGCAGCATCCCCTCAGGGTAAAACCTTTAGATTTTTCTCCAGTGCCATTTCTTTCAGGCAATTTGAAGGAAGTTGTAGGAGCCTGTGGTTTCTTTTCTATTATTATTTTTAATTGGCTTGGGATTTGTGTAATAAATGACAGCAAATACGATGATGTGAGTAACATTTCAGTATCCCTTGAAAGCTAGTAACCTGCCTCCCTGCCACTCTGCTGTTAGGCACATCACCCATTGTTGTCCCTCAGTGCCAGAGCCTTGGTTCTATGAAATATGCCTCCCTGTGGCCATGTAGCTGTGTATGCTGGTCTCTACATACAACTTCTCAGCAGTGTTTGGCACCACCAACCCAGGGTGTAAATGGGGCTGCAGTCTCTGCCATGTTGAGTCTCCATCCTAGTGCTTTAATACTACCCATAGCAGCACTTGTGATGTGCTGGATTTTGTCACTGCAGCCTGTCTTGCTATGGGTGCACCATTTAGTGTCTGTGACTTCCAAATTGAGTCTCTTTTTATGACACAAGATACAGAAAAGAGCTAGTGATCCCCCTTTGGACCCAATGTGGGTCTGAGAGCTCCTGTATCCTCAGTGCTCACTGCCTGCTCCTCTGCTCCTTGCCCACCTGCCCTAGATGGACCTAGGATAGTTGTGTACAAGCTTTGTCAGAATTCTCTCTTCCTTCCTTCCTTCCTTCCTTCCTGCCTTCCTTCCTTCCTTCCTTCCTTCCTGCCTTCCTTCCTTCCTTCCTTCCTTCCTGCCTTCCTTCCTTCCTTCCTTCCTTCCTGCCTTCCTTCCTTCCTTCCTTCCTTCCTGCCTTCCTTCCTTCCTTCCTTCCTTCCTTCCTTCCTTCCTTCCTTCCTTCCTTCCTTCCTTCCTTCCTTCCCTTCCTTCCTTTCCTTCCTTCCTTCCCTCCTTCCTTCCCTCGTTCCCTTTTCTCGTTCTCATTATTTTCCTTTATCTCTCCTCAACAACACTGATGCAGAATCTGTTTGAGAGCATAAAGAATGAGCCATTCTCCATACCGGAGGACGACGGCAATGATCTCACCCATACTTTCTTCAACCCTAACCGTGAGGGCTGGCTGCTGAAACTAGGTAAGGGGAAGGACTCCCCTAGTTCCTCTGACTTCACTGTTTGCCTGCCTCCCACCACAAATCTCCCCTGGGAACCCACCATCATCTCCGCTGTCCTTCAGTCCTGTCTGCTGCGGTGGGCAGAGGCTGACACCTGCTGTTGAAACCAACTGCCTGCTCACTCCTCCCAGCTCCTGCAGGCTCTGTCTGCTCAAAAAGGGACTCAAAAAGATATCCCTCCCTCCTCCCCATTCTCATCTCCATCAGAGCAAAATTGGCTCCCTGTGTGCATATCCACCACACAGCATCACATCCGTGGTGAGCACCATGGTTCCTCCTTGGGGCTGATCTACAGGGAGAGCTGGGAGGGTGTGTGTGCATGTCTGGAGCTTGTGGGTGGCAGGGGGAAGGACAGAAAAATGTGACTAATGGCTTTTGAACTTCATTGCTTTTAGGAGGACGCGTGAAAACCTGGAAACGACGCTGGTTCATTCTGACCGATAACTGCCTGTACTACTTTGAATATACCACGGTAAAGGCTTGACTCATGGTGGGGAAACTGTCGTGGGTGATTATGAGCCTCTGAGGGGCTAGGGAGGGCAGAGGGTAGGGGGCAAGTCTCCTCTTCTACCTTGTGCTCACAGACTGAACTCACACACCTCCAGTCTCTCTTATGCTTTTTTCTCACCTCTGCTCTTGAGGAGGAGAGAGGCTGGACACTGCAGCTGGGATCTCCTCTTAACTAAGCTCCCCATTGTGTAAATGGAGAGGGTCTCCCCAGGCATGCACTGCCCTTGTCACCTCCACAAAGGCACATGTCTGGGGAATCAGTGTCTTTAAATAGTGGTATAGATTTGAGGAGCATGTTTGGTGTTAATTCATGTTTCCTTGCCTTCAGGACAAAGAGCCCCTGGGCATTATCCCCTTGGAGAACCTATCAGTCCGGAAAGTAGATGATCCCAAAAAGCCAGTAAGTCTCCATTGGCTGGTGCCAGCTCTGCCAACACAGGATCTCAGACAGTGAGAGGGAAGAGAGAATGTACACAACCTACTCTTACCATGCTTCTTAGAGAGAAGGTGCCATTCCAAGGTGCCTTGTGCCCCAGTCTAAATATGACTGCATTTTTAATCTGTATTTCTGATGTGAACAGAGCTGTCCTTTGGGTGGCTGTATTGTGTTTTCACGCATGTGTTTGTCTAAGGGGGTCGAGATGAGTGCACACATCTGACTTCCTACTCATTTTGCACCAGCAGATGTGGGTTCGATTTCTCTCCCCAGGACTCTCCATAATGAGTTGTTGCACATGTAGACCAGACAAGACTCTGGTGTTAGGGAAGTTGCCCAGGAAGTGACACACTTTTTCTGTGTGTCTTGTGTGGCTACAGATGTGCCATGGCTCTAGAAAAAGTGCCTTCCATCTGTGTAGTGGCAGGCAGAAGAGGGGATGTTGCATCTACTTAGAAGGGGGTGAGATCTTCATGAATGGAGCAGTGACAAATCCCAGAAGGTGTTTTTTTTGATAAGTGTTGATGCTCCATCTCTCCATAAAGCCTGTTTTAGCATCCAGTCCCTCACAGAAGAAGTGGATTTACCTAAGAGGGAAGGTCCCCTAACTCACAGAGGAATTCTTGGTGTGGGGAAGGAAAGGGTCTGTTGTATTTCAAAGACAGAACGTTCTCCTCCCCTTTGAAAGCTCTCTGAGCCTGTCACTCATGGTTGAAGGCAGGATAGTCTTCTTGGTCCACCCTGTCTTCCCCTACTGCTCCGTTTTATTTCTTTTGTGACAGAACTGCTTTGAACTCTTCAATCCCAACTGCAAAGGGCAGAAGATCAAAGCCTGCAAAACAGATGGGGAAGGGAAGGTGGTTGAAGGCAAGCATCAGTCCTACAAGATATCAGCAGCCACACCAGCAGAACGTGATGAGTGGATTGAGGCAATACGGTGAGGAGACCAGAACTGGAGGCCTGAACTTGCCTTTGTTCAGTCCCAGGGAAAAATGGTCATGCAGTTTATTTGGCTATCAGAGCTTGAAAAGGGGGGTGGGAAGAAATGTTTGCAGTCTAGCAACTGTGGTACCACTTGACTTCAAAGAGTTTCAAGGTCCCTTCTGGAGAATCTGTAGCCACAGCTAAGTTCTCTGCTGTGAGTCTGCAGATCTCCAGTCCTGCATTTTGGTAAGTGCTGTCTCTATCCAAGTTCAGTTAGGTTGCCTGTGTTGCTCTTCATCATTAAATCTCTTACTTTTGCTCCCATTTCCTCTTATTTCCAGGACCAGCATCACACAGGATCCTTTCTATGATCTGGTCTCTGCCCGGAAGAAAAAGATTGCCAGCAAAAACTGAACCCTGACCTGGTCACTGACATCGGGAAGGTGTAGGTTGTTGGACAGCTTCCGTCTCACACTGGGCTCTTCCAGTGAAGACATTTGGGAGCATTGTTTCCCTCTGCTTCCCACTTGGCAGGAAGATGACTGACAGGACAGCTTGCCAGGTTTTCTTCTTCCCTTTTGAAACTGAAGGCAGAGGTGCAGGGTGCAATCCACTGAGAACTGTCAGAACTGTGGGCATGGAATTGCTCATGTCCAAAGTAAAGGCTCAGCAGCAACTGGCCTTTGGGTTCTCCCATACAGATCCAGACATGTAGGACAGGACCTGAAAAGAGATGAGAATGTCTGCAGAATGTCTCCAGCCCATCCTGTTATCAAACCAGGCCAGGGTATTTTTTTGTGAGGAACCAGGTAGATTCTCCTGGAGCAGCCAAGCATGGTCCAGACAGTTGCAGAGCAGAAAGGCCCCAGTGGTTTCTCTGCCACAAACAGATGTGTAGTGGTTGTGGGGTGAAGGCCACTGATATTTAGGATCTTACTGTGAAACCAGAGGCCAAGGTAAGACAATGATAATTCAGTTCAGAAGAAATCCATCTATACCTCTTCCTATAGCTGTGAGGGATGCCATTCTGGGAAGTCCCTGCTCTGTAACTGAGTCATAGGTTTCAGAAAATTAGAGATGTTGGATCCCTATCCAACATAAAGGATAACCAGAGAAGCAGTTCTAGGTCTTTTGTCTCTCTGTTTTGAGACTCAGGAACCAACACAGGTTTCCCTAGGGAAGAAACCCAAACATTAGCTCTCCTGATGGTTCTCCAGCCAAGGTTGCTTCCTTGTACCAGCCCAGGGGCCTGGGCTTTGTATCTGAAGTGCTTGCAGCAAGATGGAGATGCATACACCTCCCTCACACAAGCACACATACACAGAGGTATTCACAGAATCACAGCATCAGTTAAGTTGGAAAACACCTCTTGAGATCATCGAGTCCAATCTATCACCCAATGCTACCATGTCAACTAGACCATTACACTAAGTCCCATGTCCTGCCTTTCCTTAAAGACCTTCAGGGATGGTGACTCCACCACCTCCTTGGGCAGTGCATTCCAATGTCTAATCACCCTTTCTGTGAAGGAACTCCTGCTAATGTGCAACCTAAACTTCCCCTGGTGCAGCTTGAGATACATCCTCTCATCCTGTTGCTAGTTGTCTGGGAGAAGAGCCCAACACCCACCTGGCTACAACCTCCTTTCAGGTAGTTGTAGAGAGTGACAAGGGCACCCCTGAGCCTCTTCCATGCTAAACAACCCCAGCTCCCTCAGCCTCTCCTCGGAAGACTTGTGCTCCACACCCTTCACCATCCCTTCCCTGAACACAGTGCAGCACCTCAATGTCCTTCCTGAATTAAGGGTCCCAGAACTGGACACAGTACTCAAGGTGTGGCCTCACCAGTGCCAAGTACAGGGGGAGAATCACTTCGCTAGTCCTGCTGGCCATGCTATTTCTGATACAGGCCAGGATGCCTTTGGTCTTCTTGGTCACCTGGGCACACTACTGGCTCATGTTCAGCTGCTGTTGACCAGCACCCACAGGTCCTTTTCTGCTGGACCACTTTCCAGCCACTCTGCCCCCACCATTTTGCACTGCATGGGATTATAGTGGCCAAAGTGTAGGACCTGGAACTTCATCTTGTTGAACCTCATACCGTTGGTCTAAGTCCATCTCTCTAGCCTATCCAGATCCCTCTGCAGAGCTTTCCTAACCTTCGGCAGATTGACACTCCCACCTAACTTGGTCGATGAATTTACTGAGGATAGACTTGATCCCCTCATCCAGATCATCAGTAAAGATATTGAACAGAACTGGGCCCAATACTGATTCCTGGGGAACACTTCACGCCTTGGTATAATCAGGAATCAGAAGGATTTTGTGTTTCGTGTAAAGAAAGAATTAAAAGTGCTTCAATGAGCCCAAAACTCAGGGTAACATCATTGTTTTCGTGATAAAGGCAGAAGATGTGAGAGAAAGCATCATGTTCCAGTGCTAAGCAAAGCAGCCTGAGCACGGCTGCAGTCTTCCATTTTCCTTCCTGCAGAGGGCTGTATCTACCAGGCAATCTACAGCAGGGCCAGCACAGCCCGATTTTTCATTCCGGTTATTTTTGCCCAAGCCACAGGAATGTTGAATTAATTTCGAAAGGCAGGGAGCGTATCTCAGAGTTGAAGCACACGCGCACCCCAGAGAAGGAACGTGAAGGTTTTCTTCTGCTCATGCCTGCAAATGTCTCCTGCATTGAATCTTTTTGTTACTGATGTGATATGGAGTGAGTATGCTGCCTGCTGCTTTAGACCACATGTGCTTACACACACACACATTCACTCCTGCTTTGAGTTCAATGCAGGGAGGCAGGGTCATGTCCAGAGGTAGGAGGAGAAGTCAGAATATGGCCCATTATCTTGGCAACATCTCCAATATATTTAAGATAAACATAAATATGCATTTGTTGGTGAGAGATGCCCCAAAGCCTGTTATTTTCGTGAGAAATGTCTGCTCTAGTGCTTCTCAGGCTTATGGTCTGTGTGACAAAAGGCATCAAAATGTAACCTGGAGTCTCTCTTCTGCTCACAATCTGGTCTTGGGTAATCCAGGGTTTGGGAATCCTTGGGAATCCAGACTAAGCCCTTCCTACAGTTTACCTGGAACATTCCTATGACAGCAGGGTTTATCCAAGTCTTCCCAACTTCTCCTCATCCCCAATCATTCCAATTCTCTTCAGGCTGCCTATGTCCTTTCCTCTCCCTTCTTCTCCCAGATACCCACACATTGCAGAGCAAAATTATTCCTAGAAGGGACAGAGCAGGAAGGACAACTTGTGAGAGGCAAAACAATGCAGAGAGACAGGCAATAGTGCAATTTTCATCCATCAAACTAACCTTAAGAGTCAGGAGAGGTGGGACTAGGCTTTTTCTCTCCTAGAAACTGAGGTAGGGAGACCACAAGTTTCAGTTTCCATTGCCTTTCCTTGGCTCCAACAGAGAAAGTTAATTTCTAAACTCCTTGCTATACGATGCCCCAATCTCCTCAGTGTCACGAACACAATGGTACCTGATGTTGCCCACCAGCCATGCAACACGTGCTCTCTCCTAGTGGTATCCTTGACCTTATGCCTGCTGAATACCAATGTGTTTGGTATTGACCAGAGTGTCTCAGGACAGATCTATAAAACTGACCATCCATTGATACCTGTGTGCTTTGACAGATGCACTTCGGAGCCCTCAGAAATTTTATGACAGTAATGACTTGTGCAATTAGAACCAGCAGAGAACATGGTGGTTGCTGACCACCATCACACATGGCCTTTGCTGAGGGCAACTGCAGCAGCACACACATGAATGCATACACAGAGATAGACACAGAGCCCTTCAGTGCTAAATCTGACAGATTGCTGTCTGTATGGTAGATGTGCTCCTCTTTCTCATCATCGGCAGCGTATGGGGCTCACACAGACATCTGTGCAGAACACTGACACTTATTCCCTGCCTGTCTAAGGATTTCTGTGCACATCCAGCAATTGGTTTTCATAATAAATGTCCATCTATTTTCATAACACGGCTGGGAGGACAATACTGCAGATGTCTGGAATAGACCACAGCACTTCATCCTGCTTTCTCCCCACTCCTTCCCTTCCTCCCGTCCTCTGTTTATCGGCTCCTTTTCGGAAGGCTAATACATTCTAGAAATTGTTTGCAGCAACAGAGATGGAGCAGCTCTGAGAAGAGCCAGCAGTCTCATGCACTACAGCTTAGACAGAGAACATCTCTGGGAGGTAGAGGGGAAGGGCAGTGCACAAAGAGAGGCAATTACACATTCAAAGTGATCAAAGGACATCGATTGAACCTGTCTTTTTCCAGGGAGTGGATCCTTTTGGTGCTGGGGGCTCAGGAGCAAATGGAGGCCTTGGGAAGGCAAGACTCTGCACATGAATTGGCCAGGAGTGGTGTTCAGTGGCCAGGTGGAATCACCCATTGGAGACACTGTCTATTCCTGGCAGGCCTGAAACTGCTCAGCTGTGTGTTACATGGCCTTCAGTGCAAATGGAAAATCAAGCAGCTCTTTTCAACCAGCTAAACAGGGTTATATGGAATGGGACTGTCAGCCTTTTAACTCCCTCTGTGATATGCCATGTGATCCCCCACACCTCACCCCTCCACAGCAGTGCAAGCATTGACACCAAGAGGGGACAACAGGTTTGCCAACTCACACCATAAACCTGGAGGAGTGGAAGGCTATGGCAATGGCCTCAGAGAAATGGGAGCCAGTCTTCATACCCTCTGGGATCAGCCATTTGTATGGAAAAAAGCACAACCTCAGTGTTTTGAAGCTGGTCTGAATGGTGCAGTCAGATTTGTGAATGCAACAGGAGCAGTTCCTCCTGTCTCCCATCCCTTATGTTTGACCACTGGAAAGCAACTGGCTACGTGAGGGTGGGGGATCCATTGAGGAACTTCCTCTCTCTTAAAACTTATTTTGAGTATGCATTTCACATAGAAAGGACAGAGCACAAAGCTAGAGAGCAGGATGGCTCTCAAAGGCACCACGGCCTCTCTGCTGCACCTTATTCTGGCTCACTTCTGCCTCCAGCTTGACAAACGGCCCATCTGGGGGGTTAGATGAAGCCCAGGCAGATGAAGGTTGAGACCTGGCCAAGGTTTCTTGGAGTGACACATCTGCAGTGGCTCTGCTCTAAGTGCCTGTGACGGGCAGGCAGGAGTCTCATCTTGCCATGCCATTTCCAATTCTGCTTTCACTCTGTGATGAAGATGAATGTTGCCTGTCCCAGGTTATCACATTCCCATGTGTGTGAGCCTGTATACAGACATCAGTTTGCACCTGAAGGCTGGTGCTACTGGGCTAAGTTCAAGGAGGCTTTGTATGGTAGGACAGTGTGATGCAAAGAAAGAGTCAGGGTGGAGAAGTCTGGGTCTGTGTGGGTTGCTGATGAAGAAGTGCTTGAAATGCCAAGGACAGGGCTTTCACCTCAGCTCCAGAGCAGGGGTGGCACAAATGTCAGGAAGATGTAAGGAATGACATCCTTTAAAGAGACTGCAACCTTTACCACAGCCACTGTGTCACACCACCAAGGGGCAGCCCATGTCTCAACAGCTGTGTGCTTTCCAAG